CTTAAAATTTAATACATGTATCTGAATAATTTAAATATAATAAAAATTATACCTAAATTATCAAGTAAAAAGCCAACAGACACAAACTACAGTATACTGATTACGAGTTTTGTTGAATCAAACAATGTCAAACTTCTGGTCTTATATGGAAACCCTGACATGGAATCTTTGATGTTTACCCCAATAGGAAAGGATACTATCATTTGTTTATTATTCGAATTGTCATCATTCATTTATTATTTGAATTGTTATCATTCATTTATTATTCAAATTACCATTATTCGTTTATTATTTGAATTGTATCATTTGTTTATTATTCAAATTACTGTCATTCATTTATTATTCAAATTGACATCATTCATTTATTATTCAAATTGTTATCATCATTTGTTTATTATTCAAATTGTTTATTTGAACTATGTTTATTTGTTTTATTCAAACTACTCAAATTATTCGAATTATTATTATTTGTTTATTTGTTTTATTTAAATTATCAATTAAATAATTTATTTTATTTGTTTATTTGTTTCATTTGAATTATTCATTTATTTGTCTTATTTGAATTATTGAATTATTGAATTATTCATTATTTATTTTATTCAAATAAATTTTCAATGTAATTCGATCACTCAAATTCATAGTGAGTAAAACAAATAATTTGAATAAACCCTTATTAAAATAGAAACTCTAATCAAGCAGTATAGTTGTATGTAGTGATTTTAATTTAGTTTTCCAGATTTGGTGGCTTGCAATATTTATTACAGTTTTATGACTTTAGGGTGTCAATGCTGAATTGTTGTAGTTCAGGTAAAATTTTAAGATAAATCTAAATATATTAATATTAATTATTTAATATATTTTTTGTGATACATATTTGTGGCTGAAAAAAAAAAAATTTTTTTTTGACAAATTATACAAAAACCACAATGGGAAACACTCTAAATAAAAATAAACATCATGACAATACTTCTACTGTCAAAAATGATGAATATTCTGATAAAAGAGAAGAAAAATATGGGGAATGTCCAACTTGCAATAGATATAATACTGATAGTTCATGGTGTCAATCATGTGATCCAAAGCTATTAACTGAAGGATGGACTAGTGGCAATGAAATATTAGATGAGTTGATTAAAAGTACACAACTTAAATCAACCAAGTATCATTATAGTAATCATCTTCAATGGATTCCTTATAATGCTTTAACAAATATTGAAAAGATGGGTGAGGGTGGGTTTGCAACTATATCCAAAGCTACTTGGTTAAATGGTTATAAAAGTATAGATTATCAAAATAATGAAAGAACTAGCAAGGATATGCTGGTGGCATTAAAAAAACTACATAATTCACAGAATATTTCTGATGAATTTCTTAATGAGGTAAATTATTTTTTTTTTTTATTAATTTTCAGATTTTTTAAATATTATTAAATATTTTATTTGTTATTTTAGCTCAAAAATTATGCAAAATCTTGTGATAAGGCTTATAGTTATGGATTAACGCAAGATCCAACTACAAAAGAATATATTTCTGTAATGCATTACATGGAAGATGGAAGTCTTCAAAATTATGATGATCAATATTCAAAGGAAAGAAATGAAAAATATGGGGAATGCCTAACCTGCAATAGATATAATACTAATAATTTATGGTGTCAATCATGTGATCCAAAGTTATTAACTGAAGGATGGACTAGTGGCAATGAAGAATTAGATGAGTTAATTAAAAATACACAACTTAAAGCAACAAGATATAATAATTATGATTATTTTCAATGGATTCCTTATAATGCTTTAATAAATATTGAAAAGATAGATAGGGGTGGGTTTGCAACTATATACAAAGCTACTTGGTTAAATGGAGAGAAAAGTATAGATTATCAAAATAAAAAAAGAACTAGCAAGGATAAGCTAGTGGCATTAAAAAAACTACATAATTCACAGAATATTTCTGATGAATTCCTTAATGAGGTAAATTATTTTATTTTTTTATTTATTTTCAGATTTTTAAATATTATTGATTATTACAATTGTAATTAAATATTTTATTTGTTATTTTAGTTCAAAAATTATGCAAATTTTCATGACAGAGGATTAATAATTCATATTTATGGATTAACACAAGATCCAATTACAAAAGAATATATATTTGTAATGGCATATGTGAAAGATGGAAGTCTTCAAAATTATTTAACTGAAAAATTTCAAATTTTAAAATGGGAAAACAAACTTGGAATTCTTTATGATATTATTAATGGTTTAAAAGATATTCATGGAAAAGAAATTATCCATCATGATCTTCATAGTGGTAACATTCTTCAAAAAGAAAAAAATGCAATTATTGCAGACTTAGGACTATCATGCTCAGCTAGTAAAATACCATCATCAAACAAAAATAATATATGTGGAGTACTACCATATATTGCACCAGAAGTTTTAAAAGGGAAACCATATACAAAAGCATCAGATGTATATAGTTTTGGAGTTCTGATGTCTGTAGTATCAACTGGCCAACAACCATTTAATAATTTGGCACATGATATAGATCTTGCAGTGAAAATATGTGAAGGTGCAAGACCTAGTTTCTCAAACAATACACCAAAATTATATATTGAACTAGCATTCAAATGCATGGATGCTAATCCATATAAACGTCCAACTGCTGAAGAAATTTTTAAGGTTATTAAAATTTGGTATTATAAAGATGAATTTGATAAAATAAAATTTTATCCTTCAACAATTGCCACAGTAATTCATCCAAATGCAGTTTATACTAGCAGATTATTAAAATTTACAAACCTCCCCCAACCTGTGAATTCCAATAAAGCAACAATCATTGGCAATAATAATGGTAATTATTAACATTCAATTATTAATTTTAAAGTTTAGTAACAATATTAACATTATTATGTAATAAATTATCATATTTATAGTTTCTCATTTAAGGGATTTAATATTTTAGATTAATTTGATTATTTATATTTAATAATGAATGATAAAGGTAATAACTTCTTTATCTCTGGATTTTTTTTTTTCATTTGAAATTTTGGATGTCAAATATCTACACTAAAATAAGGATTTGACAAAAAAACAAATGTATTATCTATTTTTTACCTTTTCAAATCAATATTTTCATCTCTTATAGCATTAACAGTTGAAGTGATGTATATCATATGATATATAATATAAATTTTTAAAATTTAATGCATGAATCTGAATAATTTAAATATAATAAAATTATACCTATATTATCAAATAAAAAACCCGTATCTAATCATTTCAACTTGTTAAACCACTATTGCAGTCAACTTCCAGAAGAGGTTCCCTGTCCTCAAGATTTGGTTGTCCCAAATGATTCTTTCCTCCAGATATACATAACAAAAACACAAACTATGGTAGACTGATTACAGGTTTTGTTGTTTTTTATTCGAATTGTTTATTCGTTTTATTTGAATTATCGAATTATTCACCAAATTATTCGAATAAACTTTCAATGTAATTCGATACTCAAATTCATAATAATAACATGTAAAACAATAATTCGAATAGAAACCCTAATCAAGCAGTTTAGTTTGAATATTGTTGGCTGTATGCCAGATTTGGCGACTGACTATGTAATAAATAACTCAGATTGCACGTTCACAATATTTATAGGCTGTAAATAATTACAGCATTACGGTTTTACGGTTTATGATTTTAACGACTTTAGGGTGTCATGTTGACCTGGTTTTAGTGGATTCTTTTTATGAAAATGAGTAAGATCCCGATATAAGATCTTTTATCGCATACACTAATTAATGAGTATAATATGACTCTTAGATGTCGGAACCGGTTAAATAGGTTAATTCGTAATTGTGAGAAAATTAATTAATAGCAAGAATCGGTTTTTAATTATAGAAATTTAAAATGACAAAACGCCCCACTTTAATTGTAAATCTTTGTTTTCGTAGTAGTAGGTAAGATGAAGCCACATTCACATTATCGGCTAAATGCAAGAGAATGGAGAGTAAAAGTGAGATATAACTAAATAGATTTGCTATCATCATAATTATCATATATTTGCCTTGGTGTCATTAACTCTATTATTATTATAGTTTATTGAAAGATAATATAACGGTTCATAATGAACAGATTTAAAGAAATTTTATTAAATCATACATTTTTTGTGAAATTTTATTTTTGACAAAAAAAATTTTTTTATAATTATAATTAATTATACTTAACCGGTTTTTTAACCAGTTAGGGATTTTTTGACAGTATAAACGCCAAGATATTCCTAACACATGATCTATAAACTCCTTCACGACAAAGATTATCTAAATATCAATGTGGGAGTGCATATGACCACAAATATTAATGTCCAATTTATAATCAACCACAACTGGTTTCTCTGCTGGGCTTTTCGGGTTCTTGATGAGAATTGGAATTGGAATTGGAAGAAAAAACTTATTTTTATTTAAAAACAAACCAATTTAAAAGTTTGATAAATTGAAATGGTTTTATATAATGCTTCATTTTTACCAATTGGCTCTTGAGTGATGATGGAATATGCTGTTGCCTAGAAACAAAAAATGTAAAATGTGTTGGAAAAAATACAAATAAAAAAAATCATATCAATGAAGCTTCGAACTAGTCTTCAAAAATCTAATTGTGCAACTATGCATTCAACGAATTCATTGTTTAAACATTATAACTTAGATCTTTATTGCAATCTTTTCCAAGAAAAAATAATTACCCATAAATTTTGGTTTATATTTCCCTGATGAAGTTAATTTATAGCATTCATTTTTTTAAAATTATTTTTAATTTAAATTTCATTGAATGTGGAAATTTAATAACACTATTTTAGGAAACTGTCTATCTATTTTAACCAATCAAAACTAAAGCTGTGTATCATCCAACTACATGAAAAAAAAAACTTGCAAGAAAAAAAAACTTCTCCAAAAACAATAATAATAAAAATAAAAATGGTTAATAAAGTTGAAACAGATGCATCACCGTCAACTGAAACTACAAGACCGATTGCAGCTGCTCGTAGTAGAGCAAGTCGTGGCGTAAAACGTAGTGGTGGTATAAATTCCGCTACTACACAACAAGCAACAACAACAATCCGTTCCTCACCAAGAACAACTCGTAAAACAATACATTATCCCAATAATATAGTCAATAAACATTTCGTTGATAGTGTGCCTATTTTAGAAATAACTGTTAGATTTGATGAAGATGAGTACGACATTTGGCGTCGACAAGACACTGATGAAGTCAATCTTTATTATTTATTACGAGTTAAATATCCAAAAGATGAGGATGAAGAAAAATGGGTACAAGAGCTTGAAAAATTGAAAAAAGAGATTGTCGAAATTAAAATTATTGAAAATGGATGGTTTGAAGGTGTTTGGTAAATATCTTTTTTCTTTTTTCCCCTTGGAAATGGCAAATATAAGTTATATATGTGTATATATATGTATTATGTTAGCAAAGAACCTTATGTTTGTTTGTTTACATCGGATCTGCACATTGAGTATTATTAGTAACTTAATTTATTATTTTTTTAAACTTTAAATTGTTAATAGGGTCCCACTTGAAGCAGGTAAAATATCTTTTTGAAAATAATTATATATTCTAATTAATATCACACAATTATCTAATTCCAATGATGCATCTTAAAAAATTTAATTGTTTATTGTTTATTTAGCAAAGGACATTGCATCGAAATATGGAATTTATGAATATGTAGCAGCCTTATTGGAATCTGAGAATAGTTGGTTCAACAACAACACAAAGAAATATACACGTTCAAAGGTGAATACTTATAATAATAAGAAATCATAATATTATTGTTCATAATAACAGTATTGTTATTGTTATTTACTAAATAATATTAATACTCTCTTGTTTATAAATAGAATGGGCGTGATAGTCTAAGAAGACATACTACTACAAATACTAATACTACACATAAAAGAAAAATGAATAATGAAGAATCTATAATTCCAGTCGCTAGTTCAAGTAAATCTAATAATAGTCTTACTGATGAAGATGAGAATGCTACTAATAGGAACAGAAGATCTTTAAGAATTAAATTAAGGTCAGAAGCAAAAATTCAATCATCTATCGAGAATCAAGAATCGTCATCAACAGTTCGAGGTGAATCTAGTAATCGTAAATCTAACAGCAACAATAACGATGACAACGAGAATGATGGATCAGCAGATTATTCGGAAGAAGTAACCCATAATGTAACAACAGCACTGAATGGTGACAAGGAAGAAATTAAAGAACTTAAGAGAAAATTGGATGATAGTGAAAATGCTTTAAATGATAACAATCAACCAATCAGTAAAAGAAGAGCAATTTGGGCAGGAATTGGTGCAACTATTGGTGCTGGTGTTGCTGCAATAACTCTTAATAGTACTGGAATCACCGAGACAGTTTTGAGTTATTTCAATTAAACTTATATGAAGAATTTGGTACAATATTTAGCGGATGATTGTTTATTATGAATTATCACGGCTAGGTTTTTTTTTGATGATAAATTTGATAAATTCTGAACAAATATATATATATATAATAATTACATTCATAATATTTTATTTTATTTTATTATTTTATTACTTTATTACTTTAGATATTAGTTTTTATTTTTAATTTTCAATTTATTTTATTTTATTTTATTTAATATTTTTTTTTAGAAATTCCCTTCCCTATATATACCTTTTTTTGACTTTATAGATGAGATTTTATTTTATTTTTTTCATAAAAATAATTAATTAGAAGAATTATTTACCCTTATTTATTTTGATTGTGTAGGTTATTATTATTAGTAGCGGTAATCAATCAAATTTTATCTATTAATCCATATTTTATTCCACATCATATTATTTCAATATTATTATTATATATATCATCAATTATTATTATCTTATTATAACCATTATTATAACCAAAGGAAAATAAATCTTAAATTTCTTCATATCATTTATTTTTTATGTTATTGACACAAAAAAATGTTAACCAGGAAATAACGCCAAGTAATATTATAATATAATGAAAAATATTCCTTGGAGACAGAATCAAATTTTTTTGAAATTTTGATATTACAATGATTTGATAATCTTGGTAAAATAATAAATTAATCATGATATAAAAAAAAAAATCCATAAAAAACCGTCTTTTAATTAGAAAAAAGTAACAATAACATGGCATCAACAGTTGTTGGTAGGTTCTTTCTATAAATCTGATAAATTTGATAAATTTAAACAGTTTAAAAATAAATTCTAATGAAAAATGTTTCAGAGGTCATTTCACCAACTACAAAGCAACAATCGCCACAAGTAGCGTCAGAAACTCAAATAGCAAAAGAATCAAACCGAATTCATGGTTTTATTGCCGGTGTTGCTTCTGGAGTTACTAAATTAACTGTTGGACATCCATTTGGTAAATATAAAGCAAAAGCAAGAATTACCCGACAATAATAACGTTAATTTTATTATTTATTTATTTTATTTGTATATAGATACAATTAAAGTTAGATTACAAACTACTGGAACTACCGGAAGATTTAAAGGACCGATTGATTGTTTAATATCTACATTACGAAAAGTAATTTTTTATTTTGTTCTTATTTCAAAGAATAAAAAAATTGGTTTTTTAAAAATGGTTTAATTTATATATCTGTAGGAAGGATTCCGAGCTCTATATAAAGGTGAAGGAATTTTTTAAAAAGAAATTATTTAGAAATGAGTTTGTTTGTTAAAAAGAATTTATGAAAGATTGCGTAAAAGGGATTTTTGCAAAAATTACTTGTTACTAAAATATAATGCCAATATTTGAACACTTTATGATTTTGAAATAATCACAATATTAAAGATATTTATTATCTGCTTAAAAATAACATTTAATATAGGCGCAACACCACCACTTATAGGATGGGTATTCTTAGACTCTATCATGTAAGTATTGAAAATAAAAGAGAAATCGAAAGTAATATTTTGATCAATTAAATCTTACTAAATGAATGAATTTGATTGATATAGGTTAGGATCACTTCATAATTATCGATTATTATTACAAGGAAATGATCCAAATGTTAAATTAAATGTTTTTCAACATTCGTTGGCAGGAGCAGGTGCATATTATATACACATATGCTTACATCTACATAAGCCATCTACATGCATGTATATATACTTATATAATACTTATACTTATATATATATAGGTGCTGGCATTACAGTAGCATTTTTTGCTACACCATTTGAACAAGTCAAGGTAAGCAGACTTTGAGAAAAAATATATTATATTTAAAAAAGCTAGAAACGATGATGATATTATAATTTTAAATTTTTAAGGCAAGATTACAAGTTCAATACGACAGTACAACAAGGACATATAATGGACCAATTGATTGCGTCAAAAAACTGGTTGGTATCATGTATAATGTTTTACTAATTTTACTAAATATCAGGCATTCAAAAAAATTTTATTTTTATATTTAAAAGGTAAAAAATAATGGTATAGTTGGATTGTGGAGAGGATTAAGTGGCAATTTACTTTTTAGAAGTTGGTTATCTGTATTTTGGGGTTCATACGAAGTAAGCCATTCATCTCATTATATATAAGAAAGTAAAAAGTTTAGAGAATGATTGCTATTTTTCTTCAAAAAAAAAATTAATTAATTTGTTTTTTTTTTAAAAAGCTTTATTCAATATGGTTACGTAAATTAAATTTAAATGAAGCAAGCATAAATTTTTTAGCAGGCGGTTTAAGTGCAAATACATTTTGGTTCATTTCAATGCCATGTGGTACTTATTACATATTATATATAATTTATAATATTATTTTATCAATATTGGTGACAATTTTTTTTTTTTTGTTAGATACTGTAAAAAATAGAATGATGGCCCAACCAGATATAAAGCCTCTTCAATTTCCAACATTGAGAGGCTGTATTTCACAGATATATAGAACAGGTTTGTAATAAAATTAAAGATGAATTTGATTTTAAAAAAATTAATTTGTATAGTTATTCTCTATTTTATATTTATAAATACATAATATACATATATTTATTTATACACAAATATTTTGTAGAAGGAATAAATGGATTTTATAGAGGTTTTATACCTTGCATATTAAGATCTTTTCCTGCAAATGCTTGTGCAATTGTAGCATTTGAATCAACAATGAGATTTTTAAAAAATAAAAATTTATAATAAACTTCTTTGGGAATTATACTATTGTCCTTGTATTATGCTTTATATTTTATATTGTAATTGTTATCATATCTGTTGTCATCATTTTCATTATTAATATTATTATTAGAAATTTCTTTTTCATAAACAAAATTTTGCAAGTTTCAAAATAAAAACCTCTTATTTAAATGGCATTGAATGAAACTTTTCTTTACAAGGTTCTTTTTTATTTCAGAAAGCTCCTTGTTTATACTTTTTCTATCAAAATTAACTGGTGCATTATTATACATTTTATTAACAATTTTATTTACAAATTTGTGATGATAATATATTAAATGGCATTTTTTTGCAATTTAAATTTATAGATTGGTTGGTATAAATGAATAAAAACAAAATTAAATTAATGAATAAATGAATAAAAACAAAATTAATCATCCATTATCAATCCTTTCCTTTTCCTTTATTATTATTATTACAGGTAAATTGTATATAATTATTGGTAATAAATAATGGATAGTAACTTCCAATTAATTAATAATGAAATTTTTTTTCAACATTTAAGAGAAATGAGTTAAAATCAAGATCATTTAATGAAGTCAATACTTGTATAACTTTTTAAGCCATTATATTTGGCAATTTCTTCATCTACTTGTATGATATGCATCTGGATGTGATTTGTGTATTTGTTGCAAATCACTACCATCATCATTATTAAAATCAATTTCAAGCTTCTTGAATAATCTTCTTATTAAACTATTATTGCTTTTCAAACTTTTATTTTAGCAAAATCTAAAAGCTCTTCACTAGTTGGTCTTTTTGATGAATCCACATCCAAACACCTCTGCATCATTTGTGCATAATCATTGGGCATTCCAGGTAATATTGGTGATCGTAAACCTTCACATATATCAAAAATTAAATGATGATTGTGAGATCTATCATTAAATGGCGGATTACCTACAAATATTTCTCACATTAACATCCCAACACTATAAATATCAGTCTTTTTGGCTTTAAGTAGCTCAGGTGCAACCATGATATAATTCCATAGATTTTATTTGATGATTTCAAAGATCAAAATTATTTCAATTTTGATGAAAGCAATACGATTTGGTATAATAACAGCAATAACAATATGATTTATCTTATATTTTATTTCTATTTTTTTTTTTTTAAAAAAAAAGAATAAATGATATAATTTTCTTATTGATAGTTACCAGCAATAAGTAATCATTATTGTTTTCAATTAAAAATTTTAGTTATACTCCCACCATGAGATAGATGATGCAACGGAAGTTGTTTTGGAATCATTTGAATCATTTGTATAATCACCAGAACAAATTTTGCGCATGATTTAATATTTCCGGTAAAGTTCTTTGTAAGGATGATTCGTTGAAGATGGAAGTATGTGTAACAGGGTTGGCAAATGTGCTCTCCATTGATGGTCTATTGGTGGTCCATTGGGTCAATTAATGTAACACTTTAGTATTTATTAATGGCAATGGACCAGTCCAAAATCCATCTGTTCTCAATGGACCAATCAATTTGCCAACCTGATGTGTAATGATGGTGAATCAATCGAATTTTGTATGTTCCAATTTTCACGTATAGCATGTTCTTCAACGGATTTTTCCATGTTAAATCCATCAGATAACAAGCGCCTTTTCCAAACTACCCCTATCAATGACATTTCTCCAATTTTATTGACCTATGCTGCCTTGCACATACTTGGTGTATCTAAATATCCCACTATGTGGGAAGCCAACTCAGGTGGTAAAATTCTGAGAAAATCTACCTTTATTTCATCTTCAATTGTTGTTATCCACCACCATCCTTAAAACACTTATCCATATATTTTTTCAGCATCTTCTTGTTTACTTCTTTTTTTGGTATTTTTTACAAATGACATGTTTGTAAAATAAAAAGAAGTTTGTGATTTGATCGACGCGTACACATTAATTATTGGTTTTTTTTTTTTGGGAGGACAGACGCGAATTGATTGTTTTTTTTTTTTGGAAAAACAGAGTCCAAGGTGACAAAACGTAATTGTTGTTGTTTGGTTTGGTTTAGTTTGGGAATACGTGTTAATATCTAACCAGCGTTACTTTTTTTTATTTGTATCGATATTTTTATTTTAGCTTATAAATATTTTAATTGGAATCAAAACGCGGAGCAGATCATTGCTGGGTAATTACAAGA